TCATATTCGTTATTGTAAACCGCGCTTAAGTTAGGCATCATCTGTTCATTTCTTGTGTATGTCCGACGATCAAAAGACCGCTTGGGATCGAGTCTGTTTATAATTTGAAAGGTAATCTTGTCAGTTGTACATACAAAAGGTAAATTGTTTAAAAAATGAGTCTTTGTTTATTATCTGATAAATGTATACTTTTTTCGTCAATTGTTCACAATTGCAGATGCCTTTTGTGTAAAATCCAAGTCGGATGTATGTAAGCTAATAAATGTTCTCGTTAATCTTATCTCGCCTTTTGGTTCGTTCAAGGTTACAAGAAATTACCACATAGAGTGTCTCGAGTCTCCGTAGATATAACAAACACAGAAATAAATAACACAAAATAAATTGTAGCTATGTGTCGATTCCATGCAATACGTCCGAACATTAAGCTGAACAATAGTGTGGGGGGAGTGAATAATCAAGAGTTGCGTGGCGCTGAAACAAAAGACGAATCGACGCAATTTGAAAATCGCGTAACTCCGGGTTCGCGTAAGTCGGGGTATGACCGTAATATAATTTTTAGATAAATCAGTGAAATAAAAAATTTGGCAAGTTTTTGCAACTTGGATATCAGAGCACTTTTTGTATAAGTACATGTAATGAAGTTTCTAAGAGAAGCAATTACAAGCTTGCTGCAGTGATTATGTTTGTGCATTGATAAATAAATATATTGGTTGTCTTTATTTTTTATGTATTAACCAAAATGATTATGTGGCCCATGCTTGTCGTTCTCTCAGTTATCTGGCCTGATGTGAAAAAAGTTTGGTGACCCCTGTCCAATGGGATATGGACATGCAGACCTTTCAAAAACTGTTCAATGGAAAAAGCACTTGTGAAATCATTCTTGTTCCAGATTTTTTCAAGAGCAACTTATGTTCATTACTTTGTTTTTCCGTAATGGAATATCTATTCATTTTTTTTTAATATTAATCTATTTATTTAACTAGTTTTCTTTATTAATGAATTAGTTCTCTGTTCTCAAGAAGATTGTGATTTATCATCAGCCACAATAATACACTGATCCCAAAGTTCATGAATAATTAGGACTTCATGAACATTAAATTCTTGAACTTTGAATTTCATTTTCAATGTTAAATTTGTAATTTGCTCCAAGACTATGTATTAATCCTGTTTTTAAAAATTTTCAGGAAAATGAATAGTTTTATTAAATAAATATATTGTTCAATGGTTTATAGTACTAGAAAAGTCAGTTTACTTAAGCTAATAAAACATAGTAGTAACGTAGCTAATGACAGACACCATATAAATGAGTGAGTAAAGTGATCTTTTAGCAATGCACCTGCCCAAACATCCAGTTCACACAGGCACCAACTCCAATCAATTTACAATAGTATGTAATCCTGATAGGTCAGATCCTTTCACAAAACTTGAAATTTTGGTATATAAATTTCCAATCACAAATGATTGAATTCCCAAACACTGACATCTATAAACATTAAGGGTGTAGTGTATAGTCATAATTTCAAAATTAATTAGCCAAACTTTAAAATTCAAATAATAAAAAATAAAATAGTAAAATAAAAATTTTATGCTATTTATATTTAATTGCAATATGTAATAAATACATCACCAAACGATCGCCTAAATATCGGGCTATAATATGGCTAATTAAATGATTGGAATAAAGTAATTTGACACTAGAGGTAGACGTTAGGCGCCATCTCTTAATTAAATTAATAATTAAATAAATAAATCAATAAATAAATTTAGAATCTTCTGGAATAAAAGAACTGGCCCGGGGCGGGACTCGAACCCGCAGCCTCCGCTTGCCGTGCGGCGCGCTTACCAGTTACGCTACCCAGACCC